TCTCTCTCTCGCTCTCTCTCAGGAGTGGCAGCCTCCTCGATTGCCCGCTTCCCTCTGAACTCCTGATTCCTGAAATGAAATGAAGCAGTGAGTGAGCAGCCTTTGACACACACACACACACACACAAAGGAGGAGGGGGGCCCTACACGTATACACACACACACCACACACATAAAAAATAAAAATCTGACAAAAGCAAGTGGAGCCAAAAAAAGTTTGGAAACTTTGGAAAGTCCCCAAAAGGTTCCTGTTTTCTCATTGGTCAGCTGTCAGGTTCTTGTGAGCCCATTGGCCGCCTCGGTTGTCCCACCTCTCCCTTCCCGAGGTGTGTGTGTGTGTGTGTGTGTGTTTGTGCCAGATATCAGTGATATTGTTCAGGTCCTGTGTTCTTTCTAATGGGAGGGTTAAAATTAATACAGTGTGTGTGCGCTTGTGTGTGTGTGTGTGTGTGTGCTAGCAGGGTGTTTACCTTGGCAAGCACTCAGGGAGAGAAAGAGAGAGTGACTTAAATTTAGAGTTAGTTTTCACAGTTGTTTTAATAGATAACATCTATGTTTATATTAATAATCTTTAATTTCCACAAACACTAGAACGATGTGGACGGTTCACTGTTCACACACCATAAAAAATATTCATGTTTTTTTGACCCAAAGTCCCCATAATGTGACTGTGTAAACACATTTTTGTCCCCCCGACATGATTAATACATACATTCATCTTTCTTAACCAAGATGAAGTTCTTTGCCATTAATGTAGATTCATTGCTTCATTAATTTCCCTGCTTTGGCAATGTTGACTTTTATGTAAGTAAAACTGATTTGAGCTCAGTCAGACGGAGAATTATGGATTTTAAAAAGTCCCCTCAATTGCCAGCACAACACATACCTAACACGTCATTAAACAAGCTTGTAAACTCAGCAACAGAAAAACAACAACAGCAAGTAAAGAAAAGATGAAGCACTAACACGGTTCAATGCACTGCCTGTCTCTAAATGCAAGTTCTATCATGTCTTCCAACAACTTAACAGGTCCAGAAAACATTTACTTTATCATTTATTTAGCCAGAAAATAAACAACTCTGAACAACCTGCACTGTAGGCCAACACCACATCACCATTCCTCTACCAGTACAAGTACTAGCTACCTTTACATGGAGCCTAATATTAAGATTATAATCAATTTAAAGGCCCAAACAGAATAAAATGCTCCTTTTAAACATCTGTTTCAAACAGACCTTCCGTCTCGATGTAAATGCGTGGGGATGTAAGTTTCTCTACTTCAAGGAGAATTTGTTTCTGATACAAACTCACGTTACTGGACGCCTCGACGGAAAAAAAACACCTGAAATAACGACATATTCAGATAAAGTCCACACATAAGTTAAAGAAGCACATGTCACACAATTGTTCCGATTATGTTCTTCGGCATATGTAAACACCAGATCGTGTTAGATCAGAATGAACTGTGTGATCTGATCGTCATTGTACACAAAGAACAGCTGAGATACCTGGGAATTCAGGTGGGCCGCCCCATGAACCATGATGAGTCCAACTTTCTGAATTATAATATGTACAATACCCAAGTTTCCAACCAAACGTAGGTCACATTTTAACTGGATTTTCCAAAACAATGGCAGAATAAAATGCCAATTTGTACGTGTTTCCATCCCTTACTGTTACGTGAATATTGGGAGTTGGTTCATTGAGATAAGCAGTAGGTAACAAAACATCTTTTCCCATCAAGAAAAACCTTTCAGTGCCGTTCTTTTCTCTTCTTTCAATGACAAAATACTGACCAGTTCTGATATAACAGACGCTAGCAGCATCTACACTAAACTCTCTGTTGAACTGTCACTTCTCACACACACACACCGAGCGTTAGCTCGTAGCTCATGTCGTAGCTGACATGATTCTCGAGGGATTTTGTAATCGATAAACCAACACTTTCCCACCTCAGCCCCAAGTATAATC